GGCCTTACTACATGAGATTGGCCTTGCTACATGAGATTGGCCTTGCTACATTACATTGGCAGTGTTTCCCCCAAAGCGTTATAGCGTAGCAGCTCACTGCGCTTTAAGAAATTCCTGGGGGAAACACTGATTGGCTTTGTTAGATTAATTTGCCCTTGCAGTATTAGTTCGCTTTGCTAGATTAAATGGCCTTTCTGCATGAACGTTGGTAAGATATTGCTGATAGCAAGAACTGGGACATGTTCAAAAGTACAATAAGTGATGAAAGTAGAGCAGTACTGCAGGAATCATACTCATTTCTGAATGACAGAGTACTGAATGTCTATGGAAATGTAAAGAATCAACTGCTACAAACAGAGGGATTTCACATTAGCATCGTCTGCGCATATCCGCATCAAAACCGATGCTCTCTATGTCGAACTTCGTTGTGCGCACCCGCGAGTCGACACAGTACATACAGTATCCTGTTTGTAAGTGTGACGCCATTTCAGTTTAAACCACGCTCAATGCACATGCAGATAAACGACCATCACAGGTACATCAGTTTGTGGTATATTGCCGTGATTTTTTCTTTTGATTTCACGTGTCAAGTCATCCGGAAAGACTCTTCCCCAGAAATGTGCAGCCTGAAAAGTCTTAATTTAACATACCTTTTTCTATTTTGTGTCTCAATCGTCTAATTATATTAAGAATTGAAGCTGACACATACAGCCTCGTTTTCAAATGCAGAAGTGCGCAGATCAATGCTAAAAGCATTGTATTGGGATCCCTCTATAGCGTAAAAAAAAAATTGCTGATTGAAAAAGGTAGTTCAGCATTTCAGAAGGCAAAGTCGTTTGAGAGAAAGCACCTGTACAGGTTGGCATATCACCAAGCTGATATGGCAGAACTCATGTGCTCATACTGCTGTTCTCCAATGACCTCGGAATGCGCTTCATTTTGGGTATGCATCGTTGGAATATCGAACTGGTTCACTATCAGACATCAACCATCTTTGTACGCATTCCATACCACCTCTAATGCATGAATGATTCGTATGCTGTCCGTATTGCCCATCCTGAGCATTATGGCATTTTTATGGCCCATATTGTGAAATTTCATGTGCCCCTGGGTGCGGGTTGATAAATTGATTTTTATTTATTCTCTGTAAGATGGTATGTGCGCACAGCACAGTGGTATAATACAATATGTGACCACTCACAAGATATCCAGTGCAACACTGGTTCGCATCCGCCTAGTGCAGAGTATGTGGTCTTATTTTCATCAAAAGGTGCACAAATCCATAGCCTCACAGCATTTGACAATGATAACATGCTATGTTGGTAAACTGAGCCAGGGTTTTAGCAAGAATTCTGTATGGGTGAAGGGTACAGGAATATGCGGAGCTCAACAAGCTTCATATCTCTTGGATTTCTAAAAAATTGTGTTTCTTTATTCTACAGAATCAGAATTTTACAGAGTTATGGGTAAATTACAGCACTTTCACAATTCCAAGGATGAACATGTACACTGTTAATGTGTCAAAATGAAATGATGAGAAGAAGTTATCTTTTACTTTCAGGAAAGATAACAACATTTCTATGTCTACATAAAATGTACATGGGACACTGAAAACCTCCATTCAAAATAACAAACTTTGGCTATTTTTAGCCCTGCATACCAACTGGATTCACGGTACATTCAATACACAGAATTGCATTCAATATTTACCTTTTGTTATGGAACTTAGGATTTTATCACATCAAACATTGGAATTCATAAATCTGTGATCTGTAAGTTTCCCTTATTTTCCTTACCTCAACAACCCTTTAACAAGAACCCTGTTTCTTGTTCTAGCCATCTGCGAATCATATGGAACCTCAAAGTACTGCAAGAAAGAGACAGCAATGATTCTGTCAATACACAGGTGCTTTTCCCACTACACAGGTGCTCTTCCGCACTACACAGGTGCTCTTCCCCACTACACAGGTGCTCTTCCCCACTACACAGGTGCTCTTCCCCACTACACAGGTGCTCTTCCCCACTACACGGGTGCTCATCCCTACTACACAGGTGCTTTTCCCCAATATACAGGTGCTCTTCCCCACTACACAGGTGCTCGTCCCTACTACACAGGTGCTCTTCACCACTTCATGGGTGCTCTTCCCCAATACACAGGTGATCTTCCCCAATACACAGGTGATCTTCTCCACTACACAGGTGATCTTCTCCACTACACAGGCGCTCTTCCCCAATACACAGGCGCTCTTCCCCAATGCCAAACAAACTTCAGCACAAACCAACACTAGTATCACATCAACTGTTTCAGAATTTTTTTCCCTACAGACTATCAAAGTGAATACGTCATAATAATGTGTGTGAAAGGCATTAGCACCACCAGCGCATGAACCAAAATGCGCACGTACACCATCCGTTTGCACTACACTTCCTGGTTCAAAATGATGTTACACATTGGCCCTCTGTAAAGGGACATGTATGACTTGATGGATGTGGCTCCCAACCAGCTGGCCCACAGAGAGTTGGTCACCCAGTGATTATGCAATGCCAATTAGTCAAGTATGACTCGTCCCAACTCCGATTCGGTAAAGGAGCATATATTCACTGCTCATACAATAATAAGTAGCAGGCAAAATCATCTGGTTCATATCCTAGGATTGACTGTGTGCTCTATATGTATATGTTTCAACCCATCATTTATCTCAGAACTGCTCTATATGTTATTTATTATAAGTAAAAACACCTTTATGGTCAACTCAGAATTTTCCATATATGAAGGGACCGTTTGAAAAATCCCAAAAACAGGAAAAATTCTGAAAAATCTCATCCCTGAAAATTACTTGGCTGTGGACAGACCCGGTATTTGGGCCCCTGGAAGCCACTGCTGCCCGATTCACATAGACTGGGGTACAACTCAGCCACAGCCAGTAAATTTGGACATGGCTGAACAGCTACGTCCTTGCTCTTACCTGATTGATGGTGTTTGCTGAGGACGACGTCAGGAAGGTTCCCAATGCTGTGAGAGCACATGTCGACAACTCAAACACACCTGGAGCCATACCGTAGCCTGCCAATGCCGAGATGACCACTAATCCTACCGATGGGGAAATAGGACAAGGGAACCATCCTCAGAACTGTCAATTGCATGCAACGTGTGAAACTAACATTTGAAGGGCAGGCCAGTTTTCAGATTTTGTATTTTGGAAGAACATATATATTCAAATTTAAAAAAAATCCTTGTTAAAAAGTTCTGTTCTACTCAGAGATCTATACATATAAATGAAGTTACAAAAGGCATTTTTAAAAGTAATTTCTTGATCTTTTCCATCGTTAGATTTTGAAACTCATTTAAAAAAATTACGCTCCCTAACTTAATCCCTAAGGGTTAGTGAATAATTATATCAAAATTAGAGACTCTTTAAGTGACTTTTTATTACTCCTAAATGTTACAAATCATTGAAAGGTTTATATTCTACAAAACAATGAAGTCCCATTTTCCGACTGCAAAGTTATAAATTGATGAATGAGCCCTATGTGATCACCTGTAAGTCTGCTCTTTGATAGCTGCAGATACAAGGATGGGAGCTGACCCAATGCAACCCTCTGTTCCCTCCACTGGCCCTGGCTGGGCTCAGCCACCTCCCCTTCCCCTTCCGCCTTGTTCCCGTCTTTGGGCTCAATGGGGCAGGGGGTGACCTGGTCCAGGGTGCTCTGGATGGCCGTCTCCACCCTCCGGTTGAGATCCTGGATGGTTGCCGAAGGGTCGGGGGAGGCTGCCAGTTCCGCAGAATGCATCTGGTAAGGGTGTGTTGGATTGGGCATCGTTGGCTGCATGTCAGCTTTGCTGCTTGGAACGGGATAAGGCTTGATGGCTGAAGATACATATTTACTTGTTACCTGTGCAGATGCGACCAAATGGCAGTCGATGAGATGATCAATGTGCCCCTAAGGCTTTTTCCAGCTGTTGGCTTTGAGTTCAGGTTTGGTTTAATCTAAAGCTCCTAATTTTTTCCGTTTATTTTACCTTTGTATCTGAAGGACTACCAGAAATTTACATTAAATTACTACAGCACTAATTTCTCATCTTCCGTGAGGAGAAAATTTGCCGCCGTCGTCCTGGGCACAGATATTTTGAATCAGTGAGCTTGCTTGTAGAATATTTGAAATCAGATGAATACCGCATTATGCAAAGTGCATCCCACACTGATAAAAATCCGATTAAAATAATCACAGTGAAATTTATCTGCAATGCATGTGTGCTTGTGTTTGAGATGTTTGTGCCTACATGTAGCAAAATTAAATGCTCATTTACGGATTATGCATTTAGGTTTTTTGTGTATCGGCTTTCTTGATGCATTGCTTTAGAATACAGCTGCAGATATGGGAATCGCCATATAAAAGCTACTGTATACAAAATTTCGAGTTTTCCATAGGTTTGTGCACATACATGGATGTGCCCAGCAGGCATCACTTTGTACATACATGTAAGTCAGCGCTCCAGTTCTTTATTTATAGCTCTATGGGGATGAGAAATCCTAACTTATAAATATATATGTTGGATAAGGGCAAAACTCATAACAGAAATTCACATCTCTCAAACGCAAAGTACATCTTTAAATTGTTTACGGTACCCGCTGCTACACCTGCCAGCCGACCATGGCAAGCTCGGTGGTCGAGTGGTCAAGACGTCTGCACTAATAAGCAGGAGGTTGTGGATTCAAGTCCCACCGGAGTAAGCTGGTGAAGTTTTTCACAAGCTCTTGGACAAGCACTGAGTATACAGTGTTTATGTTTGGTTAGGGCAAAACCATAATACAAATAGTAATAATAATAATTCATTTAATTTATATTGCACTCATTCCATTCAATGTTCATGAGTGCATTACAATAATAGAAATTATATGCATTTAAATGACAGAAAAGTCTCCACAAAATTGTGTTAGAAAACCTAAATTAAAACTCTACAACAATTCCAATAAAAAAATCCTAACTTACAGCTGCAAGGAAAAATAACATAGACAGCTGTTGTGTGTAGTGTGTGGTCGGGCCAAGGATATACAAAGGCCCCATAGCCAGGCAGAAAAGGACCCATATCTGGCCACAGAGTACAGCCACAGATCAAAGGTGATGATGTTTAGGGAGTAACGAAACTGGAGAACCCGGAGAAAAACCTTTGCGGCTTGGAAAGAGTCAACAAACAACTCAGCTCACATATTAACACTCAGGAATAAATGGAAACGTGATAAACTTTGACCTCATGGTCAAGAATCTGATGTTTGCCTGGCAAAAAAAGGAGTTGCACTGAGAAAAAAGTCTCATATTGGGGAGAAAATGTTCCTGAAACTACATGAGGTTTAAGCAAACGACGAGAGATTAAACCAACATTTGAAATAGGGTCACAAACCACACACCAAATGCCCTTTAGTTTTTTTTATGGCATTGCTACACTTTTGACCAACTTCAGGACAAGAAAAATCTATAATCCAAGTCTTGAGTAGAAAACAAGCAAGAGTTGGGTATCCGGCTGTCTTGCATTTGCCTCCAAGCAAACGCCACTTTACCTTGTACGTTTTCATTCAAGCCAAGTCTGTTCAGCTTGTGAAAACTAGAAATGCCTGAAGAAAAGTCGAATTTAGGTCACATTTTAAAAACTTGTTGGGTGTTTGAAAAACTTGAGAACTGTGGTGACCAGGTAAGGAACTCTTTCTAAAAAACTTAGTGCCTATTTGGTAAAAAACATTGGAATGAAAATCCTTTCGACATTTGCATACATGTATGAATCACGTAACTTATACATAATTGAATTTGAAAATGTTTTAAATTAACTCACCTGTTTAGCCCGATTCTTCTTCCCAATGCGCTGCGTGACTGCAGCACAAAGATGGAGAGATCGCTTTGTCTGGACCTGTAGGAGACAGCTCAACAGGCCAGAGTACCGAGGAAGGATCTTCAGTGTTAACTGATGCATATCTCTTGCTCTTGTTTGGTTACCAATTCCCGAACTATGATACGGGCAGCATAATTCTGCACAGTGACAAATGAACATATCTAAATGCAATTTAAGTCCAAGCAGCTTATGACTGTGCATAATCAACAAGAACTTATAGATGTTCCACTATAACTAGAACGAAATTCAAGTGAAACATTCCAATTTTGGGACCCTGATGTATGCCTCTTTACCATTATGTTGCAACAAAACTAAATTTATGTTTTAATCAAATGGAAAATGCAGCACTCAAACTTAGGAAGAAAAGTCTGGATCAATAGGAAAGAATTTTTGAATATTTTAAAAGGAGAAGCTTTTCCCTAAACAAGGACAGAATGCATTCAAAACAGTTGAATTTAAATACTTGTAGTTGTCAATGCTGACTTTTGCTGAAATCAAGGGTTTACATTCTCTGAGAAGATTCAATACTTTCTTGGCAATAAAAAGGCCTACAGCGATTTGGTCAAACACTCTAATGCCATTTTGAGCTCAAAAATCAAGAGAGCGTCCTTTCAACAAACAATGCCCTGGGCAATACACCTAGGCCTAAGCAATGTTAAACCAGCAGTTTATTCACAGTTTTCAATCAAACATGTGAAATTATATTTATCAAGATTTGGCGTTTATTGACAGTTTGTCTTAATTGAAATGTATGGGATTGTGAACCTCCACTTGACTTTAGAGGGTGAATGTACTGGAAAACACTGGCAGGTCCAGTTGAAGGGGAACTGTATGTATATTTGGGGACCCTTTCCTAGAGAAGGGAGGCCTGCATTTAAACTTTTGCCTTTGGATTCACCTTGGTTGATGACTATGACATCCTGCTCATCTCAATAACTGTAGGCCTAGTATGGTTGATGTGAAGAGGGCAGGGTTTTGAGTTTTTAGGGAAATTAGGACGGGAAACTTTGAGTGTTATTACACATGGTGGATTTAAGTTAGCATGGTTGGTTTAGGACATGTAGGAGCATCCATGGTAGGAGTAATTGCAGAATACCCCACCACTCTAAAAAAAAACAAAAAAAAACGACCCCTGGAAAGGCTGGTTACGAGTTTTGGAAGATTAAAACGACAAGAACTGGGGTCCCCAAATTATACAATCCCCGATTGAAGTACACTTCGAATACGCACATGCATGTGGTCCGCACGCAAAGAAATAGCATAGGCCTACGTGCCGTTCGTGTAAAAAATGTTACAATGAACTCAGGCCTAACCACGTTTACACTACAGTCACGACAGTCAGCGGTTTGCATAATTTGCAGTTTATGTCCAACTTTTTCGGGCCCCCGTTGAACTGAAGACAAATGAAAAGGCAGTAAAAACAGCTAAATGCTGAAGACGATGTACAAACAAAAGCTCTCAAATAGTAGACAAAACTAACTACTTTCTTACCACATTTTGTCAGTTCCACAAATTGCCGGTAGGCCTACTATCGGACTACGGGAAACTTCGGTCGCGTGGTGAAGGTTTTCAGCTATTACATATATGGTGTACCGATGAAAATTGCACTACATCGTGTACTTGTGAAGTACGATCTTTCTCGTTTATCACTGCGTTTCATTTACTTCACTCGATTTTCCCGTGAAATTTTTTATGAATAAAAAAGTAAATGTCACAAATAATATGGTTGGATAAAACATGATCAGAAATCAGATGACAACATACTGAAAACAATTGCAAATTTTGAGTGAACATTTTTCTTTGATACAACAAATTAATTTTTTTATGAATGGCCAACAGAGGGCGCAATTACATATAAGAGAGGCGTCTGCATACTATCCATATGCTCTCGCGCTTTGCGTTCGATCGATCGCTGCCATGCCCAGGCCCATTTATGCTGCGCTACTGCAATTGCAAACATGAACCCGAATCAAGACGCTTTACAGAGGATCAATTTTCTCTATCAGGTACGGAAGTCCTGAAAATTGGTTTTCGGGTGTTTAGTAGCTATCAGGTGGCTAAACATCTCCACGTTACTGTCTCTTGTACACACCCAAAGATTGGCATGATTGGTAACAATAACTTCATCAAGATGAAAATCGTGTGTTGCCCATTTCGACAGAATGAAAAGTGTTAACGTTCATGTGTGAAGCTGTGGCCAATAAGCCAACCGGAGTCCTCCAAAAATTAGCCCTCCCAACAAATTTAGCATTCTCACAGAAATTGGCACTGCTACAACAGCCTACCGGTTGTCCCAAGTCTGTGTTTAGAAATATGGTTTCATCTCCAGTAATCATTACATTTCATGTTGAGCTATAATCATTCTTAGATTTTGAACATTCACACATGTACATGTAGGCAGCCCACTGTATGCTCCTGCAGAATCCAGAGAACACCACGCTGGCCAGATTCTACATCACAACAATGAAGAACGTAGCCAAGAAAGCTGTGCTGCGAATGTGAGCTTGGAATTTTGGTTCTACATGTACTTGCAAAATCTTCCTGCAGTGAGCACTTACTGTACCTTAACCATTCTGATGAAACAGAGAAATATTAATCAGTAAATACCATCACGCCTTGGCTCCTAAGCAGAACTGTGTCCTTGAGCAAGGCACTTTGACGCAATTTCTATCTTCACCTACGTATACTTGTAAAAGGTAATGGTGTAAGTCATTTGACCTTTAACAAGCTGGTGAAATAATAGCATATGCTTTGGGTTTTTTTAGAGGCTGTGTTATTTCTTTTATGATCAAGATGTTAAGCTTTTCTAGCAGTGTTCTTTTCTATTTGTTAGACATCCCAACATCAAGAGAACTGTCTGCAAGCGATGTGACCTACTGCTTGTGCCAGGCCTGACCTCCAAGGTCAGGGTCAGAGGTGGGGAAAGAGTCCTTCAACATTTTCATTCTCAATCTGTACTTTGGATATGACTGTCATTGTGAATCAAGTGTGCCTTGGTGGATTTTGGGCACAGTCGGTTTTGGAGTTTTCTCCAGTTTGGTATAATCTGGTTGTGTCTGGTGAAGAAAATGTAGCTTAGTCTAGAATAATATGAGTCCAAATCAGGGCAGGATTATCCAATGGAACATTGCTCACAGAAAAGGCCTGTCAATGCAATATTAATCCACACTGAGGCAGAAATCAGGCTACAAATTGCCAATGTTTCTGTACATGTATATGTATAAACTTTGCGTGCTTCTGAGAGGCAACTCTGAGAAGCAAATGATGCCACAAGGGTTTCAAGCCAACATGTTTGGCCCAACTTGCTTCATAGTCCAGTGTAGATTCAGAGTGAAAATGAAGGATCCAGTACTTATTAGCTACCTGGTGCTGGTAAATGTTGGGCAGAGTGGGGCTTGTGGAAAACTTTATCCAGCCCTATTCCAGTTTACTACAGAGTAATTTTTCCATGTTCTATTAACCTGCACGGAGGATCCAAAAGTAGTTACTGAAGGGAAGTGATCTACTTGTAGCTGTGCCATCCTTTGTGATTTCACTTTTTACGATGCCATGCTCGCATTTCAGGCAAACGTCAGAAACACGTTGTGGTGACCTGTCTGGAATGTGGAGGGGTGAAACGCTTCCTCAGCAACAACAACTACAAGTTGTGGGTGGAGAAACCAGAGTGTACCCAGAATCCTGTTGTTGGTGTGTATGATCCTGTGTATAGACAGTATGCGTGGCTGCCATCTTACAAGCCAATCCTTTTGTTCCACAGGGTATGAACAAAGGAGGTTTGTCTGTGGAAGAAAAGAACTGCCCTGCAAGATGGCTACCATGCAAAGCCTGTATTTGTTAAGTACACGTGTCTGCCCATATTGGTACATTTACTTTGAGTCATAAGTGATACAGTGCCATTATTTGGGTTCTTTTTCTCTCAGGTAAAACGGATCCTACTAGAAGTGAAAGCAACAAAACATGAGATCATTGGTTAGGAAAGATGACTGTCTGCTCGACCACTTCAGTCTCTGCTTTTTTTACTGCCGATGATGTGCATGTCGTGTCGGTAGAGGAGTGTGCCGCCATCTTGGCACTGGATGGAAAAAACTTCAGCTGGCAAACTGATCGTGAGGCATAAGGACTTGTTTGATGGACTGAGAAAATGGCTGTACGTGGGATTGCAGGAGAGGGACTTAGAAACAGATCACAGCTGAAAATGTTGGCCTAGCGAGTTGAAAGCAGCATTTGTCTGCGGACAGAAGCAAACATGCAGAATGCCGTGCAGTTAAGATGTTACTGCAAACGTGAGATGTGATACGCCTGCTTGAAATGACTGCAAATTTTTTAATAGCGATTGTTTCCAGAAGGTTCCTATAAATTCAGGAAGTGGTCAATGTTTATGACACTAATTTGTTAAGAAGCTGGTGTCTCTCACACCATAAAACTTGTACATTACATTGCCATAACATGGTCGTTATCAATCACGAACTCTAACATGCAGAAAACCATACTGCCCTACAAACACCATCAGAAGGTAGCAGCTATTATGTGACTGTGCATTCAAAATGGGCGGAACGTTTGGCAGGTTGTGGTTTATTACAACTGATATAAATCATCCTATTCAACGTTCCCCATCCTCTTTGACATTACATTTATGATGGACCCTGTTAGCAAGGCCAGCTCACATCTCCTGAGGACGGCCAGAGCATCCTGGCTGAAACGTGGAGTTAATACTCACTGGTTCTTCTCAGGACCACGCCTCTTCTGAAGAGATAATTTCCATGGTGTACCCACAAACCTACAGCTCGGATCACATCCAGTTACTGCATCTGTGATGTTACCAGCATTTTTTTAAACGGACGCAGATTTGGATGAAAATGTGACATTTGGAATTGGGATGTGGTTTTCAAATGTTAAACTATAAGAAATGACGTTATCCCCTTTGAATGCAAACTCACAAGACACCTGTTTACGGAGCAAATAGATTTCCAATTTCATCTCATGCTTTGGTCAAAGAATGCAATTCCTACCCAATCCACACTAACAGTTCTTTTCAAAAGAAACACACAGCAACCCAAAACCAACGTCTTCACTCAATTTGTACAAAACTGGTCACTCAAACCAGAATTTATTCCCCACAATTAACATTTTACAGAGCCAACTCTCAGAGCCAACTCTGAAATCATTTTGTGACACAGGAGACCAAGGTTTTTCTTCCTGTGTGGTCCTCGCTGTGGTGGATTTTTGTTAAAATATAATACAGCTCCGTCACAGCAAAGCATATCTCTGGTATGTAGTGATGGATGTTATAGGTCCACAAACCTGTGGGGAACGTGTAATCAATGTTACACTGGTCCCCCCCCTCCCGAAGTCCATGATGAAGGAATCTGAAACCAGTCACTCGCTGTGCATTTGTCTGTGCCAAATAAACGCTGATCCACTAACTGTGGTCAGCATTGATTTCTGGATAACTATGTCTGTTTACCACTTGAAGAGTGACCTCAAAGTGGCCTTTTTTGGCAATCTTGCATGGATGCATGAGCATGTACAAGCATGGCTGTGTCCCAAAGTTGTGGCTGTGGCTACAAATAGAAAGCCAGCGACTAGCAGCTGTAGCCACTACTCACAGGTGTGTGTCTTTTGCAGCCGTAGCCCTATGATTCATACGCATACAGCTTACACATTTCCATGATAAAAACCTGCACTCTAGTCTGATGCGGATTCCTGTGTGAACATACACGCAGGAGGCTTGGGATCACACAGGAGAACCTGATTGGTTCACTATGCCTTTTTGGAATTTAAGAAAATCAATGTTTAACCATTTTGTGGTGTGGCAGAGAGTACGCCCTGTGAGGTGTAAACTTGCTGTATCTCGCAGTGAAAGAACGCCATCCGTTGAAAGTGCATTTTCAAGGAGTTGGCATATCCTTGCTAGTGCATGAACATCCACATGGTGGACATACGGTAAGAGTAACCGTAACCCTTCCAGATGGAGCCACATGCAATTTAGACGTGTCCTGTTCACCTAGTTGCACCAGGCAACCAACAGCCGTCCAATAGGATGCTAGTGTTGAGAAAATGGGGGCTAGTCCCATGGAACAGCGACATCATTGGATCCTGTGGTGGTCGGCAACTTTAATACCCCGAGGCCATTGGGCCTTGGAAATAGTTGACCTGTTTGATCTTGGTGCACTTTGCAGTGAAGTGACTTGGGCCATGGAGCTCTCTTCCGTCTGGCAGGGTGCCCAGCTGAAACTACCCAGGAGGGCTTGGATTAAATTTAGAGCCAGCCGAGTGTTACCTCCCCAGCGTGTTGCTGCTCTGTTGTACCGCCCTCATCAGGTCAGGCGCAGAGCAGATAATATTCATAGCACAAACTGTGTTAGCATAAGCTGGTGTGTACCCCAGTGCACAGCCATTAGATAAATCAAGGTGAGACACCTGATGTCATATGATGGAACATGCACTTTGGTGTGACTCACACGCACCACTGGCCCAGCTGGTGCTGCTTGTGGGCTGTTTATACACTGTCTATGACACTGTGCATTTTCAAAATGGCTTTTAAGAGTGCTGCCTGATTGTGCCATGTGCACAGTCTTGTGCAATGGCCATGCAGCAGTCGGCTCGTTCAATTTAAAAATCCATGATGATCGTGCTGTACATTCCAGTGGTTTTGCTGCATCAATCCCAAGCCAAGGTCATGCCAGGCCATGACGGCTTGTTTGTTCGTCGGTGCTACTGCCTGTTGGGCTGTTGCTCTTGGTCACTGTTGGCGTTACTAAGGAATGCCAGATATCCCTTGGGGCATTTGTTGGCAAAGTGGCCGAGCTCCCCGCACTATAAAAACAAGCCAAAAATAAAGAAATGTGGGAGGCAGGTTGGATCCATACAGTGATGGAAATAAGAAAATAAAATTGATTAGCAAATTTGCTAATCATATTGTCATTTGATTAGCATTATGATGAAATTGACTAGCAAAAATGGGCCTGATTCAGTACCATTATACCATGGTATACAGTTTTAATATCCACTGATGTGTACAGCAACGCTTAACACTGGAACAACACACAGGTATGGTATAGCATGGTTGTTGGTTACGGCTCTGGCCCAAAATTGGGTGGAGAAACAATTTTTTACACAATCAAGGGGAAAATTAAAAAAAAACTGCTGTCAGCAAGTCCCTACTCATGATTTTTTGGGGTACCACTTCAGCTCCTGAGATGTTCTACATTTGACCTAGATCAGTTGGTGACTTAAACATTAGTAAAACATTTAACAAGAAAAGGGAAATGGGCTACATGTACATCACTACACATTGCACTGATCAGCAGTCACTGTAAGAGTCCGTGCTTTATTGAGATCTGACAAATGTTCTGCAGAGTTTCGAATGGCTTTGATTTTGGCCTCTTGCAGCTGCATATCTCAAAGTAAAGGACGATGTCTTTTGACTGATTCTTTTGTTTCAGTCATGGCATATCTCTCTGCCATTTTTCAACAGTACATTTGGACGGTGCTTTTGGCATTTTTGTTGCGCATTGATCACCACGAAATGACAGAAGTTAACATGTGCTTACATATGTGCGAAGCTGGTATCGTGCTTGGGGTGTATGTACCAATGTGTAGTTCATGGCACCACTTATCACGTTTTGAATGTATATGTGTGCACTGTACCGAACTACAGGTGCTTTATAATCTCACCAAATTGCAGCAACCTTGTTTCCCCAAGAGCCGCTGGCCGGCGAGGAGGGGGGGTGTGATGGGCCATTCATGCATGATATTAAAAGAAATTTTTATTCGCAAAAGTTCCACATCAGTTATATGTTTGTCTCGCTTTCTGCGCAAAATGTATCGCATGTTGCGATGCGAATGCAGCCATTTCCATCACTGCCAGTGAGTCAACAGATGAAATACTGAATGATTGTAGCCTCCCAAGTAATGACAAAATGGGAGTTGCACAAATTTGGTTGAGAAAATGCAGACGCATATAGAGTACCCAAGTGAATACGTCATACTCCCGATTATGCGAGTGAAAGGCATTAGTGCCAGAACCGGCGCATGAAACCAACATGTGCGCACCTCCATTCATTTGCACTACACTTCCTGGTTCAAAATGATGTCACACTCCAGTACTCTACAATGATATTAAGCTGTGTGTGAATGCTATGCAATGGAGTCATACATTACTGGCCTTTTCCCACAATGCAGTGTGCTTCTGTTAATTTTAGTGACAGTTGATTAAGCAGTGTTCTGAATCTCTCCTATTCCACCTCTTGGATCCTTTGACTGCTTCTTATGCAATACTCTGACATGTAATAGCAACAGTAAGCTCACCTTGAAGCATTTGATATTTTCCGCGCTACGGAAGTGCCGGATGGGCTGGCCATTGCTGTGTGGTTGTCCTAGGTGCTGACCTGTCCCACCTCCAGCATTTGTGTCCACCATGCCGAGCACGCCGATGGCCTGTTGACCGGCGGAACAGATAGAAGTGGAACAGTGGTACATGCATGACTGTACATGGCAACTTATTTAGTGTATACGCAATGTGCAACTTATGTTTTTAAGTCAGATAGAGAAGTAGAAACATGAGGAGATTTGGCGGTAGACATTTCCTTCAGGTAGAAGGAGTGCTTTGTTTTGGGGCTATAGCATTCTTTCCAGCATCAACAGATGATGAAGGGTGCGAGCCAATGAAGACATTTTCCATGGCCATATATGCATGGATTCTCAACACCAGAATCTCCTTTAGAGTGACAGAGATATGACAAACTTCAAATGTATAAAGATTACTTGAGGCCGAAGACCAGGGTTGTGCACATTCTGATGAAAATTCACAGCACATAATGTGCCTAAATATGCGCAATGAATGTGCATGCAGGGCATCCACCACACTGGATTGCTCACGAGTGGCTGCAAAGAACCACCTACCATACCAGTTACAGGACAAGACCTGTATATAAAATGACAAGGTTGTGATAATACTTNTATAAACCATACGGCTCCAATTTCGGAGTCCCCGGCTGATAGTGGTTAATATCGACTGATGTGTACAGCAAGGCTAGGAAACAACACACAGGTATGGTATAGCATGGTTGCTGGTTATGGCTCTGGCCAAAAATTGGGTGGAGAAACAATTTTTTACACAATCAAGGGGAAAATTAAAAAAAACTGCTGTCAGCAAGTCCCTACTCATGATTTTTTGGGGTACCACTTCAGCTCCTGAGATGTTCTACATTTGACCTAGATCAGTTGGCGACTTAAACATTAGTAAAACATTTAACAAGAAAAGGGAAATGGGATACATGTACATCACTACACATTGCACTGATCAGCAGTCACTGTAAGAGTCCATGCTTTATTGAGATCTGACAAATGTTCTGCAGAGTTTCGAACGGCTTTGATTATGGCCTCTTGCAAGCTACAAAACTCACAGTAAAGGACAATGTCTTTTGACTGATTCTTTTGTTTCAGCCATGGCATATCTCTCTGCCATTTTTCAACAGTACATTTGGATGGTGCTTTTGGCAATTTTGTTGCGCATTGATCACCACGAAATGACAGAAGTGCTTACATACGTGTGAAGCTGTTATCGTGCTTGGGGTGTATGTACCGACATGTAGTTCATGGCACCACTTATCACATAATTGAATATATATGTGTGCACTGTACCGAACTACACATGCTTTATAATCTCATCAAATTGCAGCAACCTTGTTTCCCCAAGAGCCGTGGGCCTCGTGCTGCGCGAACTAGGGCAAGACACTGGGGGGGAGTTTGTTTTGTCAAACATTTAGTTCTGCTGTGAAGTTGCTAGTGTGGGGCCGGGGCTGGTTTCCGACCCGCGCCACAAGCTTGCCGCTTGCACGCTGGCCGGCGAGGAGGAGGGGTGTGATGGGCCATTCATGCATGATATTAAAAGAAATTTTTATTCGCAAAAGTTCCACATCAGTTACATGTTTGTCTCGCTTTCTGCGCAAAATGTATCGCATGTTGCGATGCGAATGCAGCTATTTCCATCACTGCCAGTAAGTCAATAGCTGAAATACTGAATGATTGTGGCCTCCCAAGTAATGACAAAATGGGAGTTGCAAAAATTTGGTTGAGAAAATGCAGACGCATATAGAGTACCCAAGTGAATGCGTCATACTCCCGATTATGCGAGTGAAAGGCATTAGTGCCAGAACCGGCGCATGAAACCAACATGTGCGCACCTCCATTCATTTGCACTACACTTCCTGGTTCAAAATGATGTCACACTCCAGTACTCTACAATGATATTAAGCTGTGTGAATGCTATGCAATGGAGTCACACATTACTGGCCTTTTCCCACAATGCAGTGTGCTTCTGTTAATTTTAGTGACAGTTGATTAAGCAGTGTTCTGAATCTCTCCTATTCCACCTCTTGGATCCTTTGACTGCTTCTTATGCAGTACTCTGACATGTAATATCAGCAGTAAGCTCACCTTGAAGCATTTGATATTTTCCGCGCTACGGAAGTGCCGGATGGGCTGGCCATTGCTGTGTGGTTGTCCTAGGTGCTGACCTGTCCCACCTCCAGCATTTGTGTCCACCATGCCGAGCACGCCGATGGCCTGTTGACCAGCGGAACAGATAGAAGTGCAACAGTGGTACATGCATGACTGTACATGGCAACTTATTTAGTGTATACGCATTATTTAGTGTATACGCAATGTGCAACTTCTGTTTCTAATACAGGCCAAGTCAAATCGAGAAGTAGAAACATGAGGAGATTTGACGGTAGACATTTCCTTCAGGTAGAAGGAGTGCTTTGTTTGGGGGCTATAGCATTCTTTCCTGCATCAACAGATGATGAAGGGTGCGAGCCAATGAATACATAATGTATAAAGATTACTTGAGGCCGAAGACCAGGGTTGTTAATGTAACAGGCTTGTGCACATTCTGATGAAAATTCACAGCACATAATGTGCCTAAATATGCGCAATGAATGTGCATGCAGGGCATCCCCCACACTGGATTGGTCACGAGTGGCTGCAAAGAACCACCTACCATAGCAGTTACAGGACATGACTTGTATATAAAATTGCAAGGTTGGGATAATACTA